TCTTCCGGACATTCCGCCTTAGCATCCCGCCCTTTTTTGCTAGGGTCTTTGTGGTCCCCATGAATTGCGCACGGCTTCCATTCGTTGCACTGAGCTCTTCCGCACCTTCCGCGGAGGCCGGGAAGGTATGGAAGGTGGAGGTGGATGGATCTCACGGCCCCGAACGGTGGCCCCCTTGCGGATGGATCTCCGGGACGAAGCAACGGTGGCCCCCTTGCCCAGGCGGCCACCGTTGCTTCGTCCCGGATCCCTGCTCGAGGGCCCCCTGGGGCCCGAGGCCGGGCCCCGGGGCCGAGATCCAGGCACGGCGCCCAGACTGCAAAAGTCAAGTCGTCGGCATGTCTTCTTGGCGCCAACCTCGCAGACTGCTTTCGTCCTGGAGGATCCCACTCCGGATTTCGGAGTGAGCTTCGTACGGACTGCTCCTGGCCAGGAACGACGCCCAGAGGTGGAGTGTTCCGCTGGAGCGCTCCACCTCACCGCGAGGAGTGCTCCGCTGTCGGCTTGCGATCCGTTGGGTCGCTTGCCGCGGGAGGGTGGCTGCATCACGCCGTCCGAGGCCCAAGCGCTCCTGGGGCACCCGAGATCCCTTAGAGAACCTGGGGGGAAAGCAAAAGCAGGAACGACGCCCAGACTGAAGCATCAGATCGTCGGCATGCCCTGGGCTCCCGAGCGGCCTCCGAGGGCCACGCCGAGGGCCCGGCCGAGCGGCCTCCCGAGCGGCCTCCCGAACGGTTGGGCCACGCCGAGGGCCAGGCCGTGGGGCCTCCCGACGGCCTCGAGCGGCCTCCCGAGCGGCCTCCCGAGCGGCCCCTCCGACGGCCGAGCAGCCTCCCGAGGGCCTCCGACGGCCGGGCGGCCTCCGACGGCCCGCCCGGCGGCCTCCGCGTGGAGACCTCCTCCTCCTCCTCCTCCTCCTCCTCCTCCTCCTCCTCCTCCTCCTCCTCCCCCAGACGCTCCAATCTCTTCCTCCTCCTCCTCCTCCTCCTCCTCCTCCTTCTCCACTTCCTCCTCCCCCTCCCCCTCCTCCACATCCTCCTCCTCCTCCTCCTCCTCCTCCTCCTCCTCCTCCTCCTCCTCCTCCTCCTCCTCCTCCTCCTCCTCGGGTCGCCTGCCACCCCCGGGGAAACCGTGCACCCCCGCGCGGCCCGCCGAGCGGCCGTGGGAGGCCCCCGACATGCGGCGGGCCTCCGTGCGGCCTCTGGGCGGCCTCCGACCCAGAGATCCTCGGGTCATTCGGGGGCGGCCAGGAGGGGGGTGCGTGGATACTCCAGATTTCGTAATAAAGAGAGGGGGGGTCTCATTTCGGGGGGGGGGTCTCTTCCAGGCTATCTTGGAGGGCCTGGGGGGTCTGGGGACGATGTTTTGGAGGGTTCTCCCACGGGGGAGGTCTGAAATGGCTTGTCTTGGAGGGTCCAGACCCCCTCCCTTTTATTACGAAATCTGGAGTATCATGGCGTGGGCCATGATATCTCCCCAGATTTCCTGGCGCCTCTTCTCGTTTCAATGCGTCCTGAGCCCCCCCTGGGCCGCGCACGTGCCGCCGGCCATGATTTGCGCCGCCCCTCTTGGACGCCCCCGATATGATGTGGCAACCTCTTTTACCCTTGACCGCCAGAAAGAAATTCGAGCAGTAAGAAAGTACCGAAACTGGATGGTTTTGACGTGTCGGGCCCTGGAAGGCGATACTCGTTCGACACTGTTTCGGTATTATCTGGGACTCGAAATTATTTTGGGGATGTGGTCCTTAAGTGCGATGGGAGCAATATAATCCTCGGGGTTCAAGGGACGGGGGTCAATGCAGACGGGGGTCAGTCAGAGCGTCGGATCTTGCAGGAACCTCCGGAGCCAGGGTTGCACTGACCTCGGGCTTGGGCGCAAGATTCTGCAGGATCCTGCTGGATCCTGCAAGGCCTGGCTGACCCGGGTTTGCTCTGGTCAGGAGGGAAAGCAACACACACAGACACAATTAATCGTCGACTGTCCGGAAGACATGGGGAAATATGGGAAGTGTGGGGGGGGAGGGGGAACACGAAAACCCAGAAATATAGGACAATATTGGGAATCCTGGGATTTGCATCTATTTATGTGTGTGTTCTTGGGCCCCTTGATTGACCTGGGTCAGTAGACCCCCGAGATCGAGGATCAGATTTGGTTCACTCTCGCGTTTTTTCGTGGATTTAGGCCTCCGAGGCCCGCCTCTCGGGCCCCAGGGTCATCAAAGATGGATACCAGACGTGGAAAAAAAGCCCCCTTGGAAGGGGTCGGAGGAGGAGGAGGAGGAAGAGGAGGAAGAGGAGGGAGGAGGAATGAGGAGGAGGAGGAGGAGGCGGAGGAGGAGGAGGAAAGGGAGGAGGAGGAGGAGGAGGAGGAGGAGGAGGAGGACCTCTGGGGCCGCGGAATGAGACAATCATGTGAGCGGATGTCTGGGGAGGGCCGCGCCAGCTCGCCGCGAGAAGCGGGCGCAGGGCCCGCGGTCGCCGTGCTTGGCCTCTTCTGGAGCGACTGAGGTCAAGGGCAGAAAAAACGCCCCTACCCTGGTTTACGAGGCGCTGTGCTCTGAACCTCCTGTGGGCTGAGAGGGTAAACCCTGCGTGATGTGCCGCGTCCTGGCGGCTCTAGGCTTTGGGGGTTCCCAGGAGGTTTACAGACCACGCACTTGTAATCCAGGGTAGGGTCGTTTTTTCATCCCCCAATGAGGGGCGTGCACGCCAGTCGTTGAAGGTAGATGTTTCTCCAGACCCGATCGCGTCGTAACAAAAAATCGCGACGCAAGGTTTTTGGCCATTCTCGGCCTCCGGGGGCCTTCGCCGGGCCCCGGGACCGTCAAACAACGACTCAGGATGAAAAACCGGCCCTGGGGAACGGTTCTGGATTTCCAGGGACCGCGCATTGAAACAATCATAACGTCGCTTGGCTGGGCTTAGATTCCCAGATCTCAATATTCTTCAAGCGTCTTCCTGCTTCATGAAGCGATGTTTCTGCTGCTGGGTGTGCTATTCTCTGAGCGGGCCTGAGCCCAATCTACTTCAGCCGCCTTCCCAGTTCATGTTTTCACCAACTTCTTCCAACCGGTGTGTGTGTGTGTACATGTCAACGCTGGTTTCGAAAGAGCGCATTGCGCGAACGTTCGTGTCACGAGGCCGGTCTCGCGGACTGGGGGCCCGTAATTATGCATGTGCGCGTCTGGGCGCGTCCGTCCTTGTGTGGGCTCCCCACCTCTGTAGACCATGCGCAGAGGGGTTGCAGCAATCATCTAGGGCTGCCTCTGCGCCCTTCCCCTTCGGCTCATCCTTGGCCGCTTTCGCTGGCCGCGCCCCGCTCACAAGGTGTCGACACGGCCTTCCGAGGCCCTGCATCCTTACCGCGCATCCTTACTGAATGGGTTGATTGTAGGGTTACTTCGAGCGTTTCCTTCTACACGAGGAATATTCAAAAATAGTAAGAAAATAATAGGGGACGATTTTTGGAGTATTGTTCCGCCTTTTTTATATTTTCTGGCTATGATTTATTCTTCGTCCACAATCCCCCGGTAGGGGGACAGGCCCGACCTAACTGGAGGGGGAGGGGGGAAGGCTTCTTAGAAGCTCCCCTTCTCCTTAGAGGAAGGCACTTGCCCTCTCCGTAGACGTGGGGCCTGTCTGCTTCTCAGGAGCAGCTTCCTTTCAAGAGGCCTCCCCCTCACCCTCATGTGCTTAAGTCGGGCCTGTCTCTCTACAGGAGGAGTGTTCAAAAATAGTCAAACATAGTCTTGAGACAATTTTTGCATATGTTTTGGCCACTTCTGAATATTTGTTGATTATGTTTTCCACTTCTCTTCCAAAATCCGCCTGTAGGGGGACATGCCCGATCTAACCTGTGCGCGCCGCCAAGCGGAGGCGGGGGCGCGGTGCCCGCGGTAGCCGCATAGCCTCTGGGGGCCCTCGCCGGGCCACGGGAACCGTCAAAGAGTGGCTCTGGACGCGAAGCCGGTCCTTGGAAAAGGTTGTCAAGATTTTCGGGGGCCCCCTGTGCAAAGAAACAAGGCGTCGGGTCTTTGGGTATATACATGTCGGAGCAGTTCGCACACGGAATGATTCTGCTGCGTTTGATGATGCTGCTTTCCTATGAAGTTCCAATAGCGTCCTGCGCCCAGGATCCGCGTGATTGCTCTCCTGGCCACCCAGGCAGAGAGGTCGCTTATACACACACACACACACACACTCACACGTACACTCACACACAAACACCACACGCACAAATACACACATACAAACACACACACGCACAAGTACACACAAGTAGAAACACACACACACACGCACACACACACACACGCACGCACACACGCACACGCACATGCACACGCACACGCACACGCACACGCACACACACACACACGCACACACACACACACCGCACACGCACACGCACACGCACACGCACACGCACACGCACACCACCCACACGAACACTCACACGCACACCGCACACGCACACGCACGCACACGCACACCGAACACGCACACGCACACACTCACACCGCTCACGCACACGCACAAGCACACGCACACGCACAGGCACACACACAGACATCCACCGACTTTGTTTTTTCAATGCGGGGCCACATCGCTCGCGACCCCTGTCCTGCAGGTTAGTTTTTCGCCCCGTACACAGTTTCGATGATCTCGGGGCCCAGGGCCCGAATACTCGATGGAAACGCCCGGACCGAGAAGCACATTATCGGTCGGACATTTCGTTATGGGGAGGGCGATGAATTGGTGGGGGGGAGACAGGTGCACCCTGCGCGCCTCAACTCAAGGGGCCCCGAGGGGGCCCTCTGGGCGGGCACGACGGGTGCACGCTCCCTTCGCTCCCCCCCCCGTCTATATTGCCTCCCATGATGCCACGCCCGAGTTCTCCTCCTCCTCCTCCTTCTGGGCACCCTGGCCCCAGGGCCCCTGCTCGGCCAGGCCTGGCTCAGTGCAGGCGCACAGTTCACGCGCCCTGGGCAGGGTGCCCGCGGGCCGGCCAGCCGCCGCGCGGCCGCCGCGCGCGGGCCGCGCGGCGAGGAGGTGCGCGCCTCCGACGTCGCCCGGCGCCGGAGGGGACTGGGGGGCGCAGCTGGAGGCCTCTGGCGAGGGCGAGGGCGACGAGGGGGGAAGGGAGAGGCGAGGGCGCGACGGGGAGGAGGATGAGGATGAGGAGGAGGAGGAGGAGGGGGAGGGTGGAAGAGCAGAGGGAGGTCGAGGACGAGGACGAGGTCGAAACGAGTCCGCAGCATCCCGAAGTGGAGGGCGCGCCCCTGGCGGCATCCAGCGCCGGGGGTGGGGCTGGGCGGCGCAGCGGGAGGCCTTCGGCGAGGGTGGGGGGCCCAGATAGGCTCGCGTCTTGGAAGCAGCGGGACCGGAGGCTGTTCGCCGTGTTCGGCCACCCGTGGGGCCCTTGCAGTCAAGACGCTGAGATCAGGAACAGTTGGGGTTCGGAAGGGGCTGCATGCTCCCTAGGTCCTTCCATGGCTGTTCCTCTAGCCCTCCTCGTGAACGAAGGCGGCTCTGTGGCCTAAATGGGGCTTCGTTCCTTATCCAGCGTTCCTTATTTCAGCGGCCCGACTGTAGCTGGCCTCGGGGCCGTCAAAAAACGACTCAGGATGAGAAACTCGCTCAGAAGAGAATGCATCGACCCCCGAGTCGCGCATTCCTCGCCGTTAGATGTGAGAGGCTTGATAGCCCACCCCGTCCAGGAGACTGCGGCTTCGCAATCGGGGCATGTCGCCGATCTATCGGCGAAGTGTCGCCGATTCAAGCTCGATGTTTCCCCCCTGAGCCAGGCCCCCCCTGGATGAGACTTGCCAAATCCACTTAGAGAGACCGGCCCGTTTACGGGGCAATTCGCCTCTAGGGGGCGAGCGGGGATAGAAGATCGAGGGTCGACGATCGAGGATCGGGAAGGGATCGAGGATTCATATGCTGTTGGTTGATACTGTTGGTGTTGTGGTGGTGGTGGTTGTTGTTGTTGATGCTCATGTTGCTGTCGTTGTTGTTGTAGTTGTTTGTGTTGGTGTTGCTGTTGGTGTTGCTGTTCTTGGTGGTGGTGTGGTGGTGGTTGCTGCTGTTGTTGGTAATGATGATGTTGTCATAATTGTTGTTGTTGTTGTCTGTGTTGTTGATGGTGTTGTTATTGTTGCTGTTATTATTGCTGTTTTTGTTGTTGTGGTGGTGGTTGGTGTTGTTGATGTCGATGTTGGTGTCGTTGTTGTTGTAGTTGTGGTTGATGGTGTTGTTGTTAGTGTTGGTGTTATTGTCGATGTTGTTTTTTTTGTGGTGGTGTTATTGGTGGTGGTGTTTGATGTTGTTGCTGTTGATGTTGTTGTGTCGTCGTTGCTGTTATAGTTGTTTGTGTTATTGTTGATGTTGTTGTTGTTGTTGTTGTTTGTGTTGCTGTTGTAGTGGTGGTGGTTGTTGTTGGTGTTGATGTTGTTGTCGTCGTTGTTGTTGATGTAGTTGTTTGTATGGTTGATGGTGATGGTGTTGTTGCTGTTGGTGCTGCTGTTGTTGTTTTGGTGGTGGTGGTGATGGTTTTTGATGTTGATGGTGAATTTTCATTTCTAAAGAATTAAAATTGTTAATCTCCAGAAGCGGTTCCGCGCGCTCTCGCCTCGACGCCGGCTACATGTTCTCTGAAAACGAGGCTCCCGCTCGAGCGTTGGGTTGAGCCTAAATGTGGGCCTTCGGAGGCCCAGCTACGACAACAACGGCTCCCGCGTGACACTTCCTTGCAATCTACCCCGAGATACCCTGGCCAGAGAGGTCCCCAAACTCAGGGACGGCGTTTTCGCTCGAGACTTCCTCGCAATTCAATCAAGTTGGCGGAGGCTCAGCCACGACGACAAGGGCTCCTGCTCGATAATTCCTCACGATTTACCTCGAGAGCCCCTGGCCAAGAAGGCCCCTGAACTCAGGAACGGCGCTCTCGCTCGAGACGTTCCCGTAATTCAAGCAAGTTGGTGGAGGCCCGGACACGGCCCAAGGGCTCCCGCTTGATATTTCTCCATAAGTATTCCGAGAGCCTTTTGCCAGAGAGGACCCCGAAGTCAGGAACGGCGCTCTCGCTCGAGACATCTTCGCACTTCAGTCAGTGGCCGACATGGGACAAATTCCCCCCGAAAGGGAAAGCAATCGAAGACAAAGTTAACGGGTACCGAGTGTTAAAGTATACGGAATGCAAGAAACGCGTGCCAGTGAGAGCGAACAGTCTTAAAATGATAGTCGTTTTGTTGTAGGTGTGTGTGTGCGGTGTTGTTGATGGTGTTGCTGCTGGTGTAGATGTTGGTGTTGCTGTTAATAGTGTTGTTGTTATTATGGTGGTGGTTATCGTTGTTGATGTTGATATGTTTCTGGTTGTTGCTGTAGGTGCTTGTGTTGTTGTTGAGGGTGATGCTGTTGGTGTTATTGTTGCTGTCGTTGTTGTTATGGTGGTGGTGGTGTTTGTTGTTGTTGATGTTGATGGTGTTGTCGTTGGTGTTGTAATTGTTGTCGTGGTGTTGCTGTTGTTGTCGTTGTTGTCGTTGTTATGGTGGTGGTGTTTGTTGTTGAAGTTGAAGCTGTTGCAGTTGTTGTGGAGGTGGCGGATGTTGTTGTTGATGTTGATGTTGTTGTCGTTGTTGTTGTAGTTGTTTGTGCCGTTGTTGTGAAGGGTGTTGTTGTCGTTGTTTAATGCGTTGTTCTTGTTTTGGTGGTCCTGGTTCGTATCGTGGATGCGGATGTTGTTGTCGCTGTTGTTATGAAGGTGTTTGTGGTTTTGCTGTTTTTGGTGATGGTGTTGGTTTTGTTGGTGCTGCTGTTGTTGTGGTGGTTGTTGTTAACGATGGTGATGTTGCTGTCGTCGTTGTTGGTGTTGTAGTTGTTTGTGCCGTTGTGGTTGATGGTGTTTTTGTTGGTGTTGCTGTTGTCGTTGTTGTTGCTGTTGTTGTGGGGGTTGTGGTGGTTGTTGTTGATGTTGATGTTACCGTCGTTGTTGTTGGCGTAGTTGTTTGTGTTGTTGCTGTTGATAGTGTTGCTCTTGGTGTTGCTGTTGCTGCTGTCGTTGTCATTGGTGTCGCTGTTGATGTAGTTGTTGTGTTTGATGGTGTTGGTGTGTGTGTGTTGCTGTTGCCGCTAGTGTTGTTTATGGTATTGTTGTTGGTGTTGCTAATGTTGTTGGTGTTGCTGTTGTGGTGGTGGTGGCTAATGTTGTTGACGGTGATGTAATTTCGTTGGTGATGCTGTAGTTGTTTATGCTGTTGTTGATTGTGTTGTTGTTGGTGTTGCTGTGTGGTGTTGCTTCTGCTGCTGTTGTGGTGAATATGGTGGTGGTGGTGTTGGTTGTTCTTGTTGATGGCGTTGGCGTTGTTGTTGTTACTGGGGTAGTTTTGTTGCGTTGCGTTGTTGTTGACCGTGTTGTTGTTGATGGTGTTGCCGTTGTTGTGGTGACTGTTGTTGATGATGTTGATGTTGTTGATGTTGTGGTCGTTGTTGTTGGTGATGTTGTTTTTGTTTTTGTTGTTGTTGCGACTGTTGTTGATATTGTTGTTTTGGCGGTGGTTGCGGTGATGGTCGCGGTTGCTAATGAGTGTGATGTTGTCGTTGTTGTTTTAGTTGTGTGTGCTGTTGTTGCTGATGGTGTTGCTGCCGTTGTTGTTGGTGCTGTCCTGTTTGTCATTATTGTGGTGGTGGTGGTTGTGGTGGTGGTTGTTGTTGTTGGTGTTGATGTTGTTGTCGCTGTTGGTGTTGTAGTTGTTTCTTGTTGTTGATGGTTCTGTGTTTGTTGATGTTGTAGTTGTTGTTGATGTGTTTCTTGTTGTGGTGGTGGTGCTGGTTGGTGTTGTTGATGCTGAGTCTGTTGTCGTTGTTGTTGTAGTTGTCTGTGGTGTTGTTGATGGTGTTGTTGCTGGTGGTGGTGGTTCTGCTGTTGTTGTTGTGGTGGTGGTGGTTGTTGTTGATGCTGGTGTTGTTATCGTTGTTATGGCTGCGTATCTGTTGCTATTGGTGGTGGTGTTGTCGGTGTTGATGTGGTTGTTGTTATTGGTTTTTGATGTGGTGGTGGTGGTGGTAATGGTGGTGGTGGTTGTTGTTGGTTTTTGATGTGGTGGTGGTGGTAATGGTGGTGGTGGTGGTTGTTGTTGATGTTGATGCAGTTGTCGTTGTTGGTGTTTTGTTGATATTGTTGATGATGGTGCTGTTGCTGTTGTGGTGTTGGTGGCTGTGGTGGTGGTTGGTATTGTTGATGTTGACGTTGCTGTCGTCGCTGTTGGTGTTGTAGGTGTTGCTGTCGTTGTTGGCGTTGTCGATAGAAGTGGTGTTGTTGGTGTTACTGGTGTTGTCGACTTTCAGTGCTGGTGATGTTGGTGTGGTGGTGGTGCTTGTTGTTGATGTTGATGTTGTTGTCGTTGTCATTGTTGTTGTTTTGTGTGTTGTTGGTGTTCGTGCGTGTGTTGTTGTTGGTGGTGATGTTGTGTTTGTTGTTGTTGCTGTTGCTGTTGTTATGGTAATTGTTGCTGTTTGTGTAGTTGGTGATGTTGTTGGTAATGGTGGTGTTGTGGTTGTTGGCGTTGCTATTGCTGTGGTTGTTGGTGTTGTTGTCGTGGTGGTTGTGGTGACTATTGTTACTGGTGTTGATGCTGGTGTCGTTGTTGGTCTAATTGGTTGTGTTCCTGTTGTTATCGATGGGGTTGTTGCTGGTGTTGCTGGTGCTGGTGTTGATGTTGTTGCGGTGGTGGTGGTGGAGGTGGTTGGTGTTGTTGATGTTGGTGTGGTTGGTCTTGTTCTTGGTACTGTTGTTGTTTGTGGTGTTGGTGTTGGGTTTGCTGCTGTTAATGTTGGTGGTGTTATTATTGTTGATGTGTTGGTTGGTGGTCATGTTGTTGTTGTGGTTGTTGTTGTTGATGGTGTTGTTGATGGTGATGTTGGTGGTGTTGCTGTTGCTGTTGTTGTTGGTTGTGTTGGTGTCGAGTTTGTTTTGTGGTCGTGGTGGTGGTGGTGGTTGGTGGTGTTGATGTTGATGATATGCTCGGTGTTGTTGTAGTTGTTGTTGATGGTGTTGGTGGCGTTGGTGGTGATGTTGTTGATGATGTGGATGTCGGTGTTGCTGTTGTTGGTGTTGCTGTTGGTTATGTCGTTTGGGTTGTTGTTGTTTGTGGTGTTGGCGTTGATGGTGTTGTTGGTGATGCTGGCGTTATTACTGTGGTGGTAGTGGTGGTGGTGTTAGTTGATGTTGCTGATGTTGATGGTGGTGTCGATGTTGTTGGTGGTGTTGGTGTTGTTGCTGTTGTTGTTATTGTAGTTGTGTGTGTGTTGTTGCTGTTGCTGTTGTTGATGGTGCTGATGTTGTTGGTGCTGATGGTGGTGGGGTTGTTGCTGGTCTGGTGGTTGTGGCTGTTGTTGGTGGTGTTGATGTTGGTGTCGTTGTTGGTGTTGTAGTTGGCTGTGTTGTTGTTGATGGAGTGTTTGGTGTTGCTGTTGTTTGTATTACTGTACCTGATGTTGTGTTTGATTGTGGTGTTGATGGTGATGCTGTTGCTTTGCAATTGTGTGTGTTGGTGTTGAAGGTGCTGGTGTTGTCGTGGCTGAGGTTGTTGGTGTTGCTGGTGGTGTTGGTGTTGGTGTGGTTGGTATCGTTGTGGTCGTGGTTGTTGTTGTTGATGTTGCTGTCGTTGTTGGAATAGTTGTTCGTGTTGTTGCATGTGTGTGTGTTGTTGTTGATGGTGTCGCTGTTTTTGTTGTTGGCGTTGCTGTCGTTGTTGGTTTGGTGGTGATGTTGTTGTTGTTTGGATTGTGGTGGTTGTGGTGGTGGTGGTGTTGTTGTTTTTGTTGTTGTTGGTGGTGTCGTTGTTGATGCTGAGGTTGCTGTGGTTGTGGTTGTTGGTGTTGGTGATGTTGACGTCGGTGTCGGTGTCGCTGTTGGTGTTGTTTGTGTTGGTGCTGGTGTTGACATGTTGTTGTTGGTTGTGTTGATGTTGTTGTTGATGTTGTTGTGGTGGTAATGGTTGTGGTGGTGTTTGTGGTGGTTGGTGGTGTCGTTGTTGTTGTAGTTGGCTGTGGTGTTGTTGGTGGTGTTGATGGTGGTGTTTGTTTGTGGTCCTGTTGTTGATGGTGGTGATGTTTTTTTTGTTGGTGCTGTTGCTGTTGTTGTTGGTGTGTGTTGTTTCTGCTGTGGGTTATGGTGTTGGTGTTGCTGATGTTGCTGTCGTTGTTCCTGTTGCTGTCAGTGTTATTGTTGTCGTTGTTGGTGTTGTGTTGGTGGTCGTGGTGGTGGTTGTTGTTGGTGGTCATGTCGATGTTGTTGTCGTTGTTGGTGTTGTAGGTGTTTTTGGTGTTGTTGATGGTGTTGTTGTTGGTGTTGCCGTTGCTGCTGTTGGTGTTGGTATTGGTGGTGTTGTTGCAGTTGTTGCTGGTGTTGATGATGTTGTCGTTGGCGTTGTTGTTTGTTTGTGTTCTGTTGTTGATGGTGTCGTTGCTGGTAATATTGAGGTTGTTGTCGTTGTTGCTGTTGTTGTTGATGGTTTTGTTGGTGATGGTGTTGCTGTTGTTGGTGCTGATGGTATTGCTGCAGTTGCTGTTGGTGGTATTATTTTTGGCGTGGTTGATGGTGTTGGTGGTGTTCCTGTTGTTGCTGTTGCTGCTGTTGGTGTTGTCGTTGATGTTGTTGTTGTCGTTGTTGCTGTTTGTGTTGTCGTTGATGGTGTTGTTGTTGTTGATGATGATGTTGTTGTCGGTGTTAGTGCTGTTGTTGACGGTGTAGTTGGTGTTGGTGTTGCCGTTGTTGTTGTAGTGGTGGCTGTCGTTGTTGGTGTTGGTGTTGTCATCGTTGGTATTGGAGTTGTTCGTGTTGTTGTTGATGGCGTTGTTGTTGGTGTTGCTGTTGTTGGTGTTGCCGTTGTTGTGGATGCTGTTGCTGAGTTTGATGATACTGTCGTTGTTGTTGGTGTTGTTGGTGGTGTTGGTGTGGATTATGGTGTTGTTGGTGTTGCTGTTGTTCTTCTTGTTGTTGTTGTTGTTGTTGTTGTTTGGGTTGGTGCTGTTGTTGTTGCTGTGGTCGTTGTTGTTGTTGTTGAACATTATTATTTCTAAAGAATAATTATTGTTGGGACCCCTGGTGCATGGCCCCCTCGCCGCGCCTAGGCCGCAGCCTCATTTTCATAATTTTCGTGAGGAAGTCTCAGGCAAAACGATGTGATCCAGATCCGGTTGTTTTGTTGACGCCCGCTTTCCCTGTCAAAAAACAATATAAAATGACATGTCTTGTTCTAACATAACCAAACTTCAAGAATCCTTTGCAAAAAATGACACGAAGTGCACACTCGCGCGCGCAAGATGAAATCCTTCCAAAACCTTAGTTTTCGTAGCGATTTTAACATAAAAACATGAAAAACCGAATGGTTTTTCAAAAAAAAAGTTTCAAAAATTCATCCCGCGCGCTCTTGCGGATTTCTGAGGAAACCCAATATTTTTTCAACATTTACAACCATCGGGACAACGATCGGGACAACCATCGGGACAACCATCGGGATAACCATCGGAACAACAATCGGGACAACCATCGGGACAATCATCGCGACAACCATCGGGACAACCACAACCATCAGAACCTCCAACCAGAGAGAGCTACTCACGTGTATTTCGTAGACGAATGAGCCAGCATACCACATTGAGGCCGGAACGACAACCACAGAACAAGAATGAGCATGTATCGTCTCACAACAACGGAAACAAGTCCTGTGGTATGCTGGCGCCACCCACGTGGTACCACTCAAAATAAGTGTCTTCGCTTGTGTGGTACGGAAACGGAAAAACGTTGTATCAGACGCTAGCGCCTCACCAGCCAAAGCAGTCCATATCATTGTAGGACCTACAGACAGTACTGGCGTCGTACTGGTTTACCGTGGTTTCCTATTCTAGCGTCAGGAACACGTTACCACCAAAAACCAGTACAGGTGTCCAGTGTTGGAACAGGGGGAAAAGTCGTATACTAAGCTAGCGTCCAGAAAATGTTACCACAACAAGTCACTGTACCCATGCGCCAGTGTAGTAGCCACGGTCGTCCGCAGGCCACGAAGTGAAGTGTCCGAACGTCATAGGGCGGGAAGCTGGGTGTGGGTGGTGGCGAAGAGTCGTTTGGAAATGTGGTAGAGCTTGAACCGGCCCCCCCACAAAGTGGGGGTATTGGCGGGCGTCGTATGAAAACCCTGGCACTGGTGAGAACGGAGTGTCCCCACGTGCTAGTAATTGTTGTTGTTGTTGTTGTTGTTGTTGTTGTTGTTGTTGTTGTTGTTGTTGTTGTTGTTGTTGTTGTTGTTGTTGTTGTTTGTTACGTTGTTGGCTCTTCTCAGACCTCCAGAAGCCTCAGGACCCTCACATTTCCGAGTCGCGAAAAAACAGCTTGTTTTTGTGTCCTTAGTTTTCGGCCTCGGGTCCCTTGCCAGGCCCCTGGGCCGTCAAACGAATATCCTTGGAATGAAAACTGGTCTCCGGACATCTAAAGAGCTGTGTTGCGAAACAGTCACGACGTCGGACCGTCGGATGTCAGGGCTCAGTGAGGGCGGGGGGACGATCGAGGATCGAGGACTCAGGTTTTAGACGTTTTTGGGTCTTCGGGCCTCCGCATGCCTCAGAGGGGCAATTCTGGGGACCTCACATCAGCTATCCTCTGGACCTTTTTGGAGACCTCTAAACCCGGAAACCTGGGCGGGGGTCTCCAAACGGTCCGAGTCGGAGGTGACTGGGGGTAAGCCAGCCGCTCTGGGACGCGGGTCTTTCACCCGAGGATGCCTCGAGCGCGTGGGGCCTACAAAGTCCCCAAATCGTTCAGTGACAGACCGCCCAGTAGAGGCCTTCGGCATTCCGAGGCCGTCAGGCCATCCGTCACCAGACGGTTTTGTTTTGGGGGCCGCCGAGCCCAGACATCCGACGATTTGATTTTTTCAGAACCTGGCTACTCAGAGGTCTTGATGCTTGTCCCCGATGCGGATTCGTAATCCCGAGTCGGTGCTTGACGCTTCTTAGTCCCGACTCTTCGTCCCGACTGCTCATCCCAGAGCCAAAACGCCCAAGACCTGGATCCCGGATCCTCGATCGTCCCCCCGAGTTCGCCGAACCCAGACATCCGACGTCGCCTGCGTGCGCAGCGCAGCTTTCTGGATGTATGAGCCTCCTCCCCTCATCCGAGTAGTTTTGTTGACGGCCCTGGGGCCCTTTCAAGGGCCCTCGGAGGCGGTCGATTGTCAAAAAGGCGTCCGTTGTGATGTGATATGGTCACGACGCGGAGATCTCATGTGTTTTACCCGCGGCGCGCCCAGAGGGGTAGGCAGAGGGGGCGAGCCTTATCAGGAGCTTTCCGCTTTCTCCGAAGCCACAGAGGGCTTCTCGGGAAGCTGCTCGTATATTGCAGGTCGGCTTGCGCGGTGTTTCCAGTTTGCCCAAAGACATCCTGACTTGATCCACGATGCAGGTGTGGCAGCCGTGGTGTTTGGAGTGGAACATACACAGGGCTTCTCGGAATACTGGAGGGGAGGAGGAGGAGGAGGAGCAGGAGCAGCAGGAGGAGGAGAAGGAGGGCTTCTGAGAAGGCCTGCCTCCCCTCGCTTCCCCCGTGGGCGCGCCGCCGATTCTGGAACCCCGGGGGTTCGCCCGGCCCGACCGCTGGTAAGGGTCGTCTTTGTCGTCGTCGCTTTCGCCGTCGTTGTCGCCGGCGTTGACGCCGTCGTCGCTGTGGTCGTGGTCGTGGTCGTAGCGGTGGTCGTGGTCGTCGTCGTCGTCGTGGTCGTCGTCGTCGTCGTCGTCATCGTCGTTGGCGTCGTCGTCGTCGTCGACGTTGGCGTCGGCGTCGGCGTTGGCGCCGGCGTCGGCGTCGGCGTCAGCGTCGTCGTCGTCACTCTCTTGTGCCCCCCGAAGGCCGCGGAGAAGGAGGCGGCCGTGCTGCAGGGGGCGCTGGCCGCCGCGCAGGCCCGCCTTGCGCCTATAGAGGAGGAGCTGCGCAGGGCGGAGGCCTTCCAGCTTCCCGCGCGCGCGGAGATCCTGGCGCGCGCCGCGCCGCTGCGGGAGCAGGTGGCCGAGCTCTCCGCGCTGGCTGAGGAGGCTGGTGCCAGGGAGGTCACCGAAGAATGCCAAGCGGCGCGCGCCAGGAGTGACCTCGTCGTCGAGGACCTCAGGAGTGGGCATCTCTTCCTCGGCGGAGGGCCCGCGGAAGGCAGTGGAAGTAAAGCGAGGCCTCCGCCGCCCTCGGAAGCTGGGCGGAAGCCAGCGGAAGCTTTCCCCCCGAGAGATCCACAGGTTTGGGGGATCTGAAGTTTTCTGGAATTCGCCAACTTGCAGAGTATCATGACAGTCTCGGTGCTCCCTCAAAACCACTGCGCTGCAACAGAATCTGATGGGCTCGTGTTCCACCGCCACCACAAGTTGGAGGGGGAGGGGGTCCTCCTCCTCCTCCTCCTCCTCCTCCTCCTCCTCCTCCTCCTCCTCTTCGTCCTCCTCCTCCTCGTCCTCCGCCTCCTTCCCTCCTCCAACTTATGGTGGTGGTGGTCGAAGACAGTCCCATCAGAGTCTAACATCTGGGATGGGGGGGGGAACACAAAAAACCAGACAATATGGGACATGTTGGGGACTCCTACTATTTGCGTGTATTTACTCGTGTGTCACAGGGCCCCATCCACAGAGTCTGTGAGCTCTCGGAGCTCCGAGGGCGGACTGCTTGGGTCGGCGCGGGCCTCCAGAAGTTTGTGTGCCCATGTGCCGGGCCCGCCGAGATCGGGGCACGCGGGCCACCGTTGTGGCCCCCCGCCAGTGCCCCCAGCGGTGTCCCGCATCTTTTCTGCGACAAGCCCTCGATCATTCAAGAGAGGAAACAACACCTGGACCGAACAACTGGCGTTTACGAAACGGCCCTGGGCGTTCACTAGAAGCCCTGCCCTGTTCGATTCCTTCTTTAGGTGCGGTTGCTAAACAGCTTCGCGTGTCGAGGTGGTTATGATCGGGGTTTGATTTTCTGCCCTCTACTCATGAGACGCGCGAGTGTCGTTACGAGTGAAATCCCTCGGCTGCGTCTGCTTGGGCGGAAAAGCTGGCGCCACTCACGCTGTCCAGACAAGGCAGAGTCCTGCGCCCAACGGTGTAGCGAACGCTGAAGCCCCTTTCACTGACCTATCTCGCACCACCTCGCCAGGCAAGCGATTGAAGATTGGACTCAAGCCGGAAATGGACTGGTGCAGCACTCGAAGACGACCAGGTTGGAGAGGTTCGTGAAGTGCTTCGCTGTGAATGCGGGAACCCATGTATGAAGGCGGCCCGAGCCATTCCCACCCCCACGCTGTATGTTTTCGAAGCTTCTCCCCAGAGCCTGCGTCCCGACGACTGCCGCCAGCAGCATGCGCCCCAAGAGAAGACTCTGGCAACTTGAGAAACATGCTACCGCCGAGGGCCGGGAACAAATCGTTATGATAATGCCACAAACGTGTTTGATAACCACCCACAACTCTTGAATCAACAATTGCCGCGCACGAGACTGCCTGGGACATTGCTAACACCGCGCCATCGCGCACGTGCAACAGCGCATTGCTGTCAACGCAAAAACCGCGTTTTGAAACACGCGAAAACAGTTTTTAGAACAGCGAAGGAAAGGCTTCATACGACGACCCGGAAAACCGGGAGCGTCGTGATTCGCAGTCGTCGCCGTGGGGGCTTGTCGACCGATTCCACAAGTATTCTGGAAAAGGTGTAATAATCATTCTGGTGGGTGTGGGGGTGGGTTGCCCTCCAGGACAAAAAGATAGTCCGTTGCCTCCCATTGTTGCCCCCCATCGCTGCCCGTGTGAAGCCTCTTGGGCTCTTCTGCCGCAAGGGTGCTTGTTTGGGGTGCTCCAGAGACGGTCTCGCCCTCTCGGGGCCGAAGGAGCTGCAATCCCTTCCCTGGCGGAGCCTGGCGGAGGGCGGCGGACGCAAAATGGGGGTCGACTAAGTACACGCACGCGTCGGTCGTTGTCAGTGGGTATGTTTGGATATCCAGATCCAAATCTACTTCAGGCGCGTTCCTACTTCAAGAGTCTAGCGCCGTTCCTTCTCTTCAGGGGGCGGTCGCCAACGCCTTCTTCCTCAATGTCTCGACCCACTTCTTCCCATCGACGGGTAAGAGTGACCCTTCGCCAGAGTGACCTTTGGTGCGGGCCCATTGGGCCTCTCCGATCGCCGCGCGCGCGGTTGGGTTTGGCCCTCTCGCGCCCCCCAAACACCTCGCACCAAAGGTCACTCTTGCCCAGGGTCACTCTCGCGTGTAGCTCAGGGAGCGGCTCCGTCTGCGGAAGATGGCGTAAGGCTGGCGGCAGCCGTCGGAAACAACACATGTTTTTTTCGTCAGATGCGAGGCGGTGCAGTCCGCTCCAGCGAGAAGGTAGAAAGGGGCACTAATTAGCGAATTGGCCAGCGGGCAAAGAGAGGGGGGGTCGGGACCCTTGAGACGGCGGTCGGTGCAAACGGGGTCAGCCAGAGCGCCCGATCTTTCAGGATCTTGCAGGGTCAGGGTCGCATTGACCCTGGTTTGGGTGCAGGATCTTGCAGGATTCTGCAAGGCCTGACTGACCCAGGTCTGTATTGACCCGGACCAGGAGGTCCCCGAGGGGGGACGACCGAGAGGAAGAAGGGACGCTCAGACGTCGAAGCGTTCGACGACGAGCAGCCGGGGGGGGGGGCAGGAGGAGATGGGAGGAGGAGGAGGAGGAGGAGGAGGAGGAGGAGGAGTGCCCCCAAGAGATGGACACATGGTTCATGTCTGATTCCCCGGAAGTTCTTGGATTTTTTGGTGGCCAAGATCCTATCATTTCTAATTGTTCCATCCTGGGCCTCCTCCTGGCCACTAGGGGGCCACGAACTATTGGAAACGAGCGCAGTTAGAACTGAGCGCGATTAGAAATGAACGACGCGGACAAGTTCTCCTGATCACACAAGAGTGGCCCTTCGCGGGAGTGACCTCTGGTGCGGGCCGACCGAGGTCCCCCCAGCACCGTCCAGCACGCTTGGAGAGGGCCCTTTCTCGCCCCCCGAAGCCGCGCACTTCCCCGGGGTCGTGCTTACGTGTGGCCGAGCATGTGTATGCACAGTCGAGTGCATCCTTACCTCGTCGGCCCATTCTTAGCCACTTCCGTTGGCCACGCCACGCTGGAAAAAAACTTCGACATGGGCGTCCAAGGGGCTTGCATCGTTAGCGCGCGTCCTCCCTATCAGTGTTGACTCTATGGATACCAGTCGTTGAAAGTAGGTACTACTGGATTCTCAGATCCCACTCTATTTCAAGCGCCTTCCTACTTCAAGAGTCGGCATGCTTTGGGTGTTTTCTTTGCTGCTCCTGGGCGGGACCGAACCCAATCTACTTTTATCCGCCTTCCTACTTCATGTTTCCACGTATTTTTTTAGATTGTCGGGTCTGTTCAGCCACGCGCAGAGGAGGGTTGGGGTAGGGCGGAAGGCTTCCTAGACGCACCCTTGCTTCTTGAACGGCGCGGGCCTTGTCTGTATAGGGCCAGCGCCTGCAAGGAGCAGCGTCCCTCTGAGAAGCCTTCCGCCCTCCCCCTACTCCTCTATGTGCGCCGCCACTATGTCCACTCGGACCTAGGTATAAGATCTCGGTCGGTTCGGGGACGGCACCTTACTGTTCTTCGTGTTTGCTGGGTTTTCTCGTGCATCCCGGGGAGGGCATCCTTGGGTGTTCTGCCCATTTTTGGGCCAGCGGAGGGTCTCATGTTCTTGACGGATGTTCTTCTGGCCTGGGTTCGACTACAGTGGGTACGCGTCGTGTCGAATTGCGGCGACTCCGCCGTTGGCGTTCAATGTTGAACGCCGTCGGCGACCCAGAATCCGTCGATGTTGCACGACGTGACGTTTCGGAATCGGCAGATCGTTCAAGGCTGAACGATCCCCTCGGTGTCACTGACCAACGCCGAAGTCGGCCCGACACGAACCTGCCGTATGCCATCTCCCCAGACCCCCGACGTCGTGAATTTGTCACAACGTCGACCCCCAGAGGTCTGGACCCCTTACCTGTGAGCGGTTCCTCGTCCTGTGTCATTTTTTGACGGTCCCGAGGCCCCGTAAGGGCCCCCAAAGGCCGAAAGTCTAGAGAAACCTCCCGCCGTGGTTTTTTCACGACGCGAAAAGGTCTGGGTCTCCCCCCTCCGCAGGTCCGCCTTCGCGGCGAGCGGCCCGCCTTCCGGCGCGCCGTGTCCGAGCATCCGGCCCCGCTTTCGGGGGGCGACGCCCGCGAGCTGCGGGAGGCCCTGGCCCGGCTGGACGCCCCGCTGCGCCGCCTGGCGGACCAGCGCTTGGGGGCTCCTGGCAGCGGCAGGGCTGCTTCTGTTTAGGGCTAAGTCGGGCATGTCCCTCTACAGGAGGAAGATTCAGAAGTAGCCCGAAAAGATGATCCGACGATGATTCAGCTCTTGTGGACTATTTTTGAGTCTGTTTCGACTGTGTTTTCTTTTTCTTCGAAAACCCATCTCTAGAAGACATGCCCGACCTAAGTTTAGGGCATATTCGTGTTGCGTCGACCGCCGACGACCGCGCCGTCGGCGTTCCACGTTGAACGCCGCCAGCGACCCAGAATCCGTCGATGTTGCCCGATCTGACGTTTCGGAAACGGCCGATCGTTCAAGTTTGAACGATCTCCGCGGTGTCAGGAACCGACGCTGGGGTCGACACGACACGAACCCGTGGTGCCGATTTCTTTCCCCTCATTCTTCAGGACCTTCGCCCGAGCCATCCGCCCCTTCTTCGATATAATTAATGCGGGCTTCCTCGAATTGCGTAATATTTTTCTATGAGTTTCGATGAGTTCTTCCGCACATTCCGCGGAGGTCGGAAGGTAGGGTAGGTGGAGGTGGAAGGTTCGCCTTTTAGGGCCACTTGGGAGGCCCTCGTCGCCATCGCTGGATTCGCCTCGAAATCCTGGTCAGAAGGCACCCCGGGAGAGGTCCAGGGAGTAGCTGTATCGGTACTGTTTGGGTCCGCCCCGAGCAGTGGGGGGCAGGATGAGGGGGGAAGGCTTCTTAGAAGGAGGCTGCTTCTTAGAAGGCGAGCCTTATCTGTAGATGTACTGCCCGCGCCTTACAGGGTTGTTTCTCAGAAGGCTTCCCCCCTCCCCCTACCCCCTTGTGCGCGCCGCCAGGAACGGCAGGCCCGCTTGTACTGGTAAAGCGGCAGGGCCGTGAGGATGAAAATAGCAAAACAGAAAAACAACACGGATCGCCGACACCCACACAACAACGACTCCGCGATCGAAGCCAGAACCACAGACCGAAACAACAATGACACAGCGACGGACTGGGACTCAAAACGGTGCCAGAGCCGGTGACAAACATGGCAAACGAACACGGAAACAAAAAAGTCATGTGGTTCTAAAAGGGGCCCCAGGGAAAGGGGCTATGAGACGGGCGATGCCGATCTCTCAAGTCCGTTCGGCTTCGCCCACAAGGTCGCTGCGCGGCGCCTCCGTTCGCACTTGCCGAGGTCTCAAATGCAGCACCGCGGTGTCAGACGTCCCTGTCGCTGGCGTCCCTCAGGAAACGTGTCAAGAATATGTAAGGCCACCTCCAGGGCAGAGAGCGGCTCCTAAACCAGGCTCACTCATAATCTGGCTTTGCAGGATCCTGCAGGATCCAGCGCTCTGGCTGAGCTCCGTTAGCGTTATGTCGGACACGTCCCCCTACATGCGGATTGTGGACGAAAAACAATACAAATAGTCGCAAGGTGCTCCAAAATAGTCCCAAGACATCCGCCGACCCTGTTGGCGTGTGGAAGAGGCTGTTCCGTTCGACTCGTAGCTTAGCAGCGTCGTCGGCGCCCCTTCTCGCTCCCAAGACCCGCCGAGCACCAGCGTGCCGCGCCGAGCGCGGCGGAGGAGGCCGAGGTGGCCGGCCTGCTGGGCGGCGACGGGCTCGGCGCGCGCCTGCGGCTCTTCGGCGCCGCGTCCGCGCAGGGGGAGGTGGAGAAGCGGTTGTACACCCTGCAGGAAGGGGGGGAGGAGGAGGAGGAGGAGGAGGAGGAGGAGGAGGAGGAGGAGGAGGCGGAGGAGGGGGAGGAGGAGGAGGGGGGGAGGGGGAGGAGGGGGAGGAGGGGAGGGGGAGGGGGGAGGAGGAGGAGAAAAGGGGGGGAGGAGGAAGAGGAGGGGGAGGAAGACAAGCTAGGTGCGCTCGCGTCATATCTGACTTCCTACCCCTCCCTCTCATCCCTTACCATGGCGTAGATCCCCTCTCTACTCGCACAGTCGGATGTCGAGCAGGGCAATGATCCCGAAAGGGTACGCGATGCATTGTAGAGCACGGTATGGCATGGCGTAGAAGAGTCCGCAAAAGCGTAGCATCAACCTAGCATTGCATTGCATGCCGTGGCATGGCACGGGAAATGACGCCAGCGCTGCAGCGGGAGCACGAGTCGGAACGAGCGGAAGCGCGGAAATGAGGCCAGCGCTGCAGCGGGAGCACGATTCGGAACGAGCGGAAGCACGGAAATGAGGCCAGCGCTGCAGCGGGAGCACGAGTCGGAACGAGCGGGGCCCGAAAATGAGGCCGGCGCCCCAGCGAGGGCAGCATTTTGGAAAACAATGCAGGCGGAAACCCAACTCCGGGGAATCTTGTGTGTAAAAAACAATACGCGGGGGGGGGCGGGGGGCAATACTTTCAAACCGTATCATATTGAGTAATTGTGGAGGAGGAGGAGGAGGAGGAGGAGGAGGAGGAGGAGGAGGAGGGGGAGGAGGAGGAGGAGGGGGAGGAGGGGAAGGAGGAGGAGGTGGAGGAGGAGGAGGAGGAGGGGGGGAAGACAAGCTAGGTGCGCTCGCGTCATATCTGACATCCTACCCCTCCCTCTCATCCCTTACCATGGCGTAGATATAGTCTCGATTCGCATAGTCGGATGTCGAGCAGGGCAACGATCGCCAGAGGGTACGCGATGCATGGTAGAGCACGGCATGCCATGGCGGAGAACAGCACGGCAGAGCGTAGCATGCGATAGCATTGCGTTGCATTGCGCAGTGAAGCATTGCAACACAAAGCATGGCATCGCACAGCGGCGCAGAATACAACATTGCACCGCATGGCATGGCATGGCGCCGGGCTCCTTGGAGGGTACGTAAGTGGATCGTCTTCGAGAGGTCTGACCTGTCTGGAGTCGTGGCTCCATGCCTAGCTCCTTGGGCTTTCCAGAAAGCGCCACACAAGGCGGGGCTGATGGAGAGCACCAGCTGGCTCTGCTTTCAACATCGCCTTCTCAAGGCAGAAACGGAGCTCCCGCGTGATACTTGCTGAAAACGACGACGCCCCAAAGCGGGGGGGGGGGCTTGTGCGGCCCAAGAAATTAACGGATCGACGCCGAAGGGTTAATCAATTCCGGCGTTTTGTTCGGGGAATCATTTTTTAGAGTTTTGGGCCTATTTGGAAGGACCACAAACCATGCCGTGGCATGGCACTGGAAATTATGACGCCAGCGTAGCAGCGGGTGCACGATTCGGATCGAACGGAAGCGCGGAAATGAGGCCAGCGTTACAGCGGGAGCACGCTTCGGAACGAGTGGTAGCCCGAAAATGAGGCCAGCGCTTCAGCGCGAGCAGCATTTTGAAAAAACAACCCAAGCGAAATCTTGTTTCCCGTGAGTCCTGTGTTAAAACAGTACTCGGAGGGGGGGGGCGAATATTTCCCGCGGGTCACCAGGGGAGAGAGGAGAGTACATAGTATTCAAATTGTACAATTGTGGAGGAGGAGGAGGAGGAGGAGGATCAATCTCGCGGATAGTTTTCGTTGTTTCTTCGGTGTCGTTGTGGCTCCATCCTGGGGCCCAACACTGCGCAAATGACGAACCCGCATTTTCAGCCAAGGCGCTGCTTCATGGCAATCGGTCGGATTGCTTTCGTGTCAAAGCGCCTCAATTTGAAAACGAAGCGAGAACGCAAAGCGATGTGTTGGTTGATCCCTGCTGCAGGAGATGAAGGACAACGGCGTGGACCCGACGAAGCTGTTGAGCCCCCGGGACGAGAGCCTCGAGGCCCGGGTCAGACGCAGGGGGGGGGATACAGTCGGAGCGCTGAAGCAGGAACCCTTTTCGTCGGGGAGGGGCTCGGTGTCCCTTGATTGTTGTGCAATTTGCTTTAGTTGCCCCGAAGGTTTTCCACGGGAAGTCGAAGTTTAACTTTCAGGAAAAAGGGGCCTCGTTCCTTATCTAGGGTTCCTTAGGCCAGCGCCCCGACTGCAGGGAAGGGGAGGGGGGTACGGAATCTGCCGCATGCAGCTGGTTCAGGCCCCGCCACTGGGCTCTTTCCTCGGTACGTTGGCGCCTCCAACGCTGGGAGGCGCCGGGAAGACCAGCTGTGCAAGCTGGTTCGCTACCCCTCTTTTGCTGTTCCTCCCTCTCCGTAGACACGCTAACGGCGATGTAGGTCTCGGCATTGTAGGTGGGAGTGCCTCGTGGCCAAGCCAATTGTAGGACATCGTGGTCCGTGCTTTCCTGCAGTTCGCTGCGCCGTTTTCGCTCGATACGTTCGAACAGTTGAACTGTAGAAAAGTGTGGTTCGTGATTTACTACCATTTGTTCTGCGCGAGCTCGGCGTCACAAAAGTCGTGTTCCCAACATCGCCGTTACCCAATATCGCCGTTAGCGCGGCCTTGGCCTCTTGCGTCCGACCCACGAGGCCGTGAGGAGCGCCATCAGGGCCGCGCTGGCCGTCGGGGGGGCCGCCATGATCCTAGTGCTGAAGCTGAGCCCGATGGTCGTGGTGCTGGCCATCGGCATCGCCTAACCTATCCCTTTCCCCGCTGGGCCATGGCCAGCTACGCGTAAGAGTGACCCTTTGCCAGAGTGACTTTTTGGTGTGGGCTCACAGTAGTCACTCTAGCACTGGCTTGAAGCGGCTTGCGCGCTTGGATTCGGCACCTCCGCTGCCCCCAGAAGTCGCGCACCAAAGTTCACTCTTGCCTACGGTCCTGTTTACGTGTAGCCGACGTGGTATCTCAGCCCTGCCGGCGCACCCCCCCCAGAGGGGGGTAGGCCCGCGAAGCCCGGAAGTAAACAGCACACATCCCCACCCAGGAAGGCAAGCCGGCTCACGGGGCCAGTGCCATGCCCGTGAGGATAAGGATCGGTCAAAACGATGCTGAGGCCACGGTGCTGCTGCTGGGCGCAGCGATCTGGGATCAGGTCAGCAACGGCGGGTTCCTCGAGCTGCTCCTGGTCGACTCCCTGGCCCGTGCGGTGGGCACCGACTACCGGGACCGCGTGGCGCAGCACGAGGCCGGCCACTTCCTCGTCGGCTATCTCTTCGGCGTCGTGCCGAAGGCTCAGAGGAGGAAAAGGTGCCTATACCGCTACCGTCGGCTTGTTTTCGCCTTTTTGGGCCTCCTGGAAGGCTCTCGTCGCCACCGCTGGATTCGCTTCGGAATCTCGGTCAGAACGCACTCCAGGAGATGTCCGGGGAGTGGCGGTATCAGTACGTGTTGTACCCCCCAAAGGCGTACACGCTGAGCGCATGGGACGCGTTCAGCAACTGCTGGGCCTTCAACACTCAGGCCGGCACGCAGCTCTGCGACAGGGCGGTGCAGCAGGAGGTCGAGTCCGGCAAGATCTCCGGGAAGACGCTGGACATCATCGTGTCCCTCGCCGTGGCCGGCGTCGTGGCAGAGTATCTGGCTTTCGGCACGGCCAGCGGAGGTGCCGATGACATGCGCGAGCTCGAGCAGCTATCCCGTTGCGCTGCCGCGGCAACCCGCTGCCGCGCGTGGCGTGGCGCCCACGGGAGGCGAGGGTATTCGCTGCCGCGGCAACCCGCTGCCGCGCGTGGCGAGGCGCCCACGGGAGGCGAGGGCATTGGGGGGGGGGGCTGGGGGCTTGGGAATTTCAAGGGGGTATGCCATGGGACCCGTCCCTCGGGATTGATTTTGCCACCGCGTGTAGCAAGGCATGGCATGAACAAAGGAACGCACGGTGAGATCAATGCAACAAGGGGGGGGGGAGGTTGATATTCTTCAAGGGACGACGCGAATGAGGATCAGTAAGGGCCCCGACGGTCTTCTTCTAATTACTCCGCTTTCTCCAGCACTCTGGCGACTCATCTTTGATGCATAGGCTGCGTGGTGAGTTGTGAAGCGAGAGCCCTACTCACGCCAGTCGCTGCGAAGCATCGGCGGGGACCCGCCCACCCCCCAGATGTGCACGAATGAGCGTCGCTTCGCTTGGTATGTGGTGACGCTCGGGCGTGCCACCGCCAAGAGGTCTCCCCCTCCCCGATGGGTCGTCGGTGGCAGTGGTCTCCCCTGTCATTCGCCGATCTGATGTTTTGAATGGGCGGCCCCAGGAAGGTCCCGACGCTTTCTCGGGATTAATTTGCCCCGAGTCCACGTTTGCTGATCCCGGGTCCCGAGATCGGGCACGCCCGGATTGAAACCATCATGTCGTAGTAGATTGGGGTCTGTGTCTCCTCTCGGAGAGCGGGGGCGGATTCCAGTCCCTCAAGTTCGATCAGCGGCGGACGGACGTCATCCTGCGATCCGCGGTGCTGAACACCGTGGGCCTCCTGCGGCGCTACGAGCAGCAGCGCTCCGCCCTCGTGGGAGCCATGGTTCGCGGCGCCCCCGTCTCCGAGTGCATCGCCGCCATCGAGACGGGCTCCGCGGCCTGACGGCGTCCATCGACTCGACTCCTGGGGGGGGGGCGTCCGAGAGGGGGTGATGACCAGGGGGGCTGCGAGAGGGGAGGGATCCTGGCCGGAGCAACGACATCTCCGCGGGGTTCATGGCTCCTCTTCTTAGTTCAGTGCGTCCCTTGCCCCCCCCCCCCTCGTCCGCGCAAATGCCTCGGGCCACGAGCCACGATTGGCGACCCCCGCCTTCGGGGACGCCCCCCCTCGTTGACGCCCCGAGACGTGGCCGTGTCCGCGCGCCCAGTTGGCGCTGGGCTGCCTGATGGCCTCCGCCGAAGGAGGAACGCACGACACGTCTTTGGCGTCGTGGCTGCGCGCCCAGTGACGCAGCGTGGTCAGTTCGTACCCGTTGGTCGCTGACAGGTGATACTTTTGAACCACCAGGTTCTAATCTACTTGAGACGTCTTCCTACTTCAGTCATCGTGTGGTTCTCCCGTTTCCTTCCTCTTTCGGGGGAGGGCAGAAACCCAATCTACGTTCAGCGCCTTCCTCCTTCATGCTTCTGCCCACGTCTTCCGACCGATGGGCAGTCAGTCGGCAAAGCAGCAAGGCACCAGCAGCCACCAACATACCTTCTCGGAGGTCCGCGCGGGTTTCTCGTGTCGGCGCTGGACCTCCCCCTCACGTGGCGCCACCGGCGCCGACGTCGCAGAAGAGCACCAGCACGCGCCGCTCATCCTCGACGGCGCCGGCGACTGTGGGAAGATAGCAGCGATTGGTTTAGCGTTAAGTCCGACATGTCTTTCTACCGGAGGAATATTCAAAAATAGTTAAAGATTAGTTCAGGGACGATTGCGTCACTGTTTTGGATTATGTTGAAAGCTTTTTGACTATTGTTCATCTTTTCCAACCATCCTGTGGTGTGGGGTCCTCGTTTTGAAAAGAGAGCGCCCTGTGCTCTCACTCCCGCTGCCCCTCCCTACTCATTTCATCATCATCATCATCATCATCATCATCATCATCATCATCATCATCATCATCATCATCATCATCATCATCATCATCATCATCATCATCATCATGATCATGATCATCATCATCATCTTATGATCATCATCATCATCATCAGCAGCAGCAGCATCATCGTCACCACGTGTTTCGGCACACCCATCACACGTTTCGTGGCCTCATGGGTAGCTCCACCGGAGGTACCAGGTGCAGGGTCCGCATGCGGTTTCCAGCCCATTTCGGCACAACCCTCACACGTTTCGTGGCCCCATAGGGAGCGCCACCGAAGGCCCCAGTGGCAGGGTTCGCCTGCGGTTTCCAGCCCATGTCGCCACACCTCTCACACGTTTCGTGGCCCCATAGGGAGCTCCACCGAAGGCCCAGTGGCAGGGTCTGCATGCGGTTCCCCGCCCATTTCGGCACACCCCTCACACGTTTCGTTGCCCCATGGGGAGCTCCACCGAAGGCCCAAGTGGCAGGGCCCGCATGCGGTTCCCTGCCCTTTTCAGCGTTCTGTGTCAATCGTTCGACGGGCCTCCCTATGGGGCCACGAACCGTGTGAGGGGTGTGCCGAAATGGGCGGGGAACCGCAAGCGAACCCTGCCACTGGGGCCTTTGGTGGAGCTCCGATGGGGACACGAAACGTGTGAGAGGTGTGGCGAAATTGGCGGGGAACCGCATGTGGACCCTGCCACTGGGGCCTTCGGTGGAGCTCCCCATGGGGCAACGAAACGTGTGAGGGGTGTGCCGAAATGGGCGGGGAACCGCATGCGGACCCTGCCATTGGGGTCTTCGGTGGAGCTCCTATGGGAGCACGAAACGTGTGAGGGGTATGCCGAAATGGGCTGGAAACCGCATGCGGACCCTGCTGCTTGGGCCTTCGGTGGAGCTCCCTATGGGGCCACGAAACGTGTGAGGCGTGTGCCGAAATGGGCGGGGAACCGCATGCGGACTCTGTCACTGGGGCCTTCGGTGGAGCTCCCCACGGGGCCACGAAACGTGTGAGGGGTGTGTGGATACTGCTTATGCTTGGGTCCTTCGTTTGGACAATTTCTTGGAAATCCCGCCTGTAGGAGGACGTGCCCGACCTACGTCTAGCGCATGCACGAGAAACAGTGCAGCACAAATATGGACTCCTGTAGGTGTGCGCGGCTCTCTCGGATCGGCGCTCCACCCCCTCTGTGCGCGCTCCGCGTGCCAGGGGAGGGGATCATGCACCGATCCCAGCGCTCCGCGTGGACCTCCGAACCATTTTTTGTATGCGGCGTCCTCAGTCCCAACTCTTCCTGCGTTGGGTTCTAGTTTTGAACAGAGCACTGTGGTCTCCACATCTCCTCCGTCCTCACCCCGTCCTGCCTCCGACCTCCTTCCTGCCGCCTGTCGCGAGCATGGTTCGCGTGCCCTTGCTCTTCGGTTTGTGATATCGCTACCGCCCACTTTCGTGGGCTCATGGGAGGTCGCGCGGAGTGGAGGTTTACGGGGATCCAGTTAGTACCTCCAGGCTCCTGGGGGGGTGGATGCGAAGTGTGAATTTGTCGCCAATGTCGTGCGCTCCTGGGAGGTCGCGCGGAGTGGAGTTGTACGGGAATCCAATTGGGACCTCGTGGCTCTCTGGAGGGGTGCGAAGTGTCTAAATGTCGCCACTTCCGTGGGCTCCTGGGAGGTCGCGCGGAGTGGAGCTGTACGGGGATCCAGTTGGGACCTCGTGGCTCCGTGAGGGGCTGCGAAGTGCGCGAGCGTCGCCACTTTCGTGGGCTCCTGGGAGGCCGCGCGGAGTGGAGTTGTACGGGGATCCAGCTGGGACCTGGCGGCTCCCTGGGGGGCTGCGAAGAGCGCAAGTGTCGCCACTGTCGTGCGCTCCTGGGAGGTCGCGCGGAGTGGAGTTGTGCGGGGATCCAGTTGGGACCTCGTGGCTCCCTGGGGGGCTGCGGAGTGCGCAGGTGTCGCCACGTGCGTGGGCTCCGGGCGGCCGCGCGGAGAGAAGTTGTTCGGGGATCCAGTTTGGACCTGGCGGCTCCCTGGGGAACTGTGAAGAGCGCAAGTGTCGCAACGTCCGTGGGGTCCTGGGGGGTCGAGCGGAGTGGAGGTGTACGTGGATCCAGATGGAACCTCCCCATTCCCTGGGGGTTTGCGAAGGGCGCAATTGTCGCCACGTCCGTGGTCTCCTGGGAGGTCGCGCGGAATGGAGCTGTACGGAGGTCCAGTTGGGACCTCGCAGTTCCGTGAGGAGCTGCGAAGTGTGAAGTTGTTG